TATCATTTAAAGTTTGTAGTGTCACAATAGTGTAAGCACTTTTTTATGTTTCTTGGTATCTGTTACAGAATATTCTTAAGTTGTTCAATAATATTACATGTTATAATTACTCTTTCGCACAATACCAATCAATTTTAAAACTCATACAAAATAAGATTATAGAAAAAAGTTTACAGAAAATCAAACAAAAATTGATTCCAAGGTAACATGTAAGTAACAGATATAAAAGTCACACTTATTCTCTGAGATTGATAACGAGTACTGGAATACCCTGAAAGCATCATAACTCAGTGGCAAATAGAAAGACGGATTGGACTTTAGATTTTTCTCTTAGATATTTTAACAGCTTATCTGGCTAAATAATACACAGGAATTAACTGCTATTAGCAATTCTGCATATTTGTCCATTTTCTATATAAATATTGGATTACTGTATAAATATAAAAAAAACAGTTAAAAGCACCATACATATAATACATACTCCACCTCCACCTTAACTGGATGCCAGAGTTCCTCGAGGTTCTGTGTTATCTCCTCTTCTGTGCATCCTCTATGTCGCTGACATGTAAGTTCCGCCATTTCTGTGACCCATCTCTGTTTGACGTCCGTATCGACAATGTACCCATCCACCTTTCTGACTCAGTGACCTATCTTGGCATTTTCTTTGATAGGCATCTTACCTGGAAACCACACCTATCCGCCCTCTCTGTTAAGGTTTCTTACCGTCTTCGTCTACTCCATTCTGTCAGTTACCTTCTGGGGCCTGAACCCTCCTCTTCTGCTGTTCACATATAAGATCTTCATCAGTCCCTGATTGACCTATGGTCATACGGCCTGGATTTCCGCCTCTTTGCCTTTTACTCTCACATTCAGCTTTTGGAGCGCCATGCCCTCAAATTGCTTTCCATATTAAACTCCCGAGTCCCACTACCGAATTGTACAGCCATATTACCTTTCCTCATTTTCTTCTTCGTCAGCTTTGTACTCGTTATGTCAATAATGTCATCTTCTCCAACATACTCACCACCACAGTCCATACCCCAAGAAGCATTTTGGCATTGGCTATTGAACCTTTATATTATGTCCGTCCCACCTGACAATCCCGATCACATTGAGGTGCCAAAGTCCCCTCTTTCCTCATTTATCTATCCTGACTCCTAATACTCACGAACTCCATTGCCAGTTCCCACACATTCTTCATTGAAATAGCTTGAACTGTGTACGTTTTGATTTCTCCAGATTATATCCTCTCCTTGTCCATATCACTATAATTCAATTCCCCATTTCCACCTCTATCATAGATTTTGCTCTTTTACACACCTCTTATATTCTCCATCTTTATATATCTTTGTTGCTTGGCTGATGAGAGGGCATAACCCTCTACTAGCCTGCCTGTCCACCCACCCTGGGATCCGAATGAAATAGTGTATATGTTGTTGTTGTTGTTGTTCTTGACAGGATAGTTAATATATGTATCACTTTTAGGTTATTGATATCTTTTGTAGAGTTTATAAATGAAGAAACGTTCTTTAAGCATATAAACTCGAATAAATTTGGAGAATGTCTATCAGGTTATGTTTATGTTGACTTATTCTATTTGGCTAATCATATACTTGAATAATTGGATATACTGTAGATACTATACTGAGAAATTGGTTTCATGTTTTTCAACTGATAATTCGTCCAGACGATGGATATTCTTCTAAACAAAATGGCTTTGTTTGAACAATTGGTTTTTAAAGGTTCTTTTCAGGATCATCACATCCTGAAAAAGATAAAGCTATTATTTCACATACCACCTCTACTGATGGAAAGGTTTCTCACTTTTAATATTTACAATGAACATCAGTATTAATCTATTGTCTGATCTTTCTTGCAAGTTTACTATGAATGTTTAGCTATAAATCTGAGCAGCTGATCTAAGATCATTATTCTCTGTCTAATACTTGAAGTTTTGGGAATAAATGTTTCAGTGTGTGTGACAATTGTCATTATTAGAGTTTGTGGTTTTACTTATGTACACTAATGATAGGATATCTACATGGAGACTTGTATTAGATGGTTAAACACAATAGTAGAAACGTACACAATAATTGTACATTAGCGTTTTTCGCTTATAAACTATGTTCATTCATGTAGGAAAATGTATTGATTACCCGATGCTTTCTTGAACTAATAAATTTACATTTTTTCGAAATCTTCCTGTTGATGGACTTTGTGATTATTATAATTCGTGAGTGTATATGAAATGACATATGTCAGTTTTGAAAATTTGAAGATATCGAAATAGAATTTCTGATTTGTCAACAAATAATCAAACTATTGTACGTTTGAATCATTTATTCATTATAAAGTGACGCGAATTTAGTCTCGTACATATCATTACAAACTAGAAATAACATATTTTTATCAAAATAACCTTTGTCTCTGTGTTACAAAGTTTTCTAATTCCAAAACATGTTGACCCTTTTTTTTTTTTTGTCCAGTTTTAAGAGGGAACTGGTTGTTTGGCCATGTGACACTCTCTTTTGTCATACTTTCAGTGACCATTTTTATTTTCTAAAAATCAGAGTTTATCAAGCTTTTGGCCTGTCCTGAAGCTCAAAAACATAGATATTCTGATTTGATGAATGAAAGAGAATAACGTTGCATGTTTTAGACTTGATAGTTATGTTTAAGGCTGAAATTCTTTAGTGGATGAGGAGAGATGTGATTGGTTGGAATTTTATATTTGCCAGTATAGTTTGCACATATTTTTCATGGCAACACTGCCCTTTTATACTCCTTTTCTATACTTTGTTTAAGCTCTATTCTACTTATTCAATTTTTCATTATAATTATTCTGTTTTTTCTTTTTTTATTTTGTTGATGTTTCTTTGTACTTCCCTTTTTATTTCATTTATGTTCATTTGTACTTCTTCAATTATTTTGTTATAATCCTTCTGTACATTTTCTATGGCTTCCTCGATCTTCACTTCAATCAAATTTATCTTTGTTTGTAGTGTTTCTATAAAATGCGTGGCTTGTTCTTATAACAACTTTCTTCAATTCCTGTTGCTTTCCTCTTGATCTTATTTTAATTTTCTGCCTTTTTCTTCGTGCTGGTCTTTCTCGTGTTTCATCAGTTCCAGAAAATTTTCGATCTCACTTTCAGAGTGTGTCTTCGTCATGAAATACAATCCGTAATCTAGTTTATTTTCTTCCAAAACGATTCCCACTCCTGATATCAGTATTGTAATGGTTTTATTGTTGGATGTGTTCATTTTTAGATTATGAGTAAAAACAAGGATGCAACGTCCAGTTTATTAAGTAGTAACGAAAGTGTTTTATTTCTTCAACTACAAGTTACAATAACTAATGTTCTCTTATAGGCGTAAGTTTACAGGAGACGCAAATACAACAGGTTTACTTAGTTGTTAACTTCTCAGGTATATAAGGTACTTTCTTATATCTCTGTTTCTTCGTCAGATGAATTCAGAATGCACGGAAATGAACGTTAACTGGCTGTCTGACTAACATCTCGCTAACTCAATAAGCAATTATCTACTGTAGTCCAGCATGCGTTTTATATTGATCAGCTCGTTTTATAAGCTTTCTAGCAATTAACTTATTAAGACATGCCTATCACACTATGTCAAACTTCCATCTTGTGATACAAATGTTCAAATTAAAAGAAAATGTAGCCTAAACCAAAATTGTAGAATAGCACTGTCGAAACATTAAAAAAGTTTGTTAGTCTTTATTTATTATTAATAATAATAAATATACTATGAGACTGAAAGCGTACTATAACCTTATCTTTGGCCTTCTGACGAAAGATGGGGGAAATATACTACAACCAAAATGTAGAATATGAACCAAATAAGCTCTGAAACGTATAAGCATAAACTGATATATTCTATATAATATATTGATGTATGTAAAAGTATTTTCTAAGCTTATATAGTTGAATAATTTTTATAGAGATTTTCGTCAATCTATCTTAAATACGTTCACACTTTGTTACTGACGCGTTGCCATAGTTTCTTTCATTTTCAATATTCTTCAATAGAGGACGTTACCTGCTCAGAACTTTTAGGTATGCATACTATGACATGAAGTAGTGAGTGAGAGGATATATAAACTAGTCAGTTATGACTGGTATTGTTAAGGTAATCTTATATTTAATATAAGTTTTTATATTTTAAGTATTTATATATATATATATATATATATTATAATTTTTTGTAACAAAAAATGATTGCAAGACGTTAAGCGTAATATATACTCGCTAACTAGTAATACTGTTACACTTACAGTCTTGACGTTAGTTAGACCAATTTTTATTTATTAATATTATTGTTAATGGTGGGGTAAATAGAATTTTACTAATTGAAGTTATTGAATTTGAATACAAGTATAAAGAGTTTATAACTCTAACAGTATAAGCTCGTTGTATGTGTCACTGGGTCAGTGTCCAAATTCCAAATAATTATTTAATTGTAGTGATGATAGTAAGAATAATATTTTAGGTGTCGCCGGCTGAGACTCAGCAGCTGATGCTTTACAAAAGCATTTGGAAATTGGAATTGGATCATTTGCCGTGCGAATAAATGACAGATTATTTGTAATTATAATAAATGCAAAGTAATGCATGTGTGCTGTCATAATTTTAATTATAGATGTGATTTTAATAGGAGTAACCTTAACAGTCTTGGTGTTCTAGCTAATTAATCTCTGAAGCCATTCAAGCAGTGTACTGTTGCTAGTTTTAGAGCATATAGGATTTTATTTTTAGGGTGTATCTACAGAAATAATAAATACAAGTTTAAAGAGGTTATAAATTCATTGTATAGGTCACTGGTTAGTCCACATTTGGAGTATTGTGTTCAGTCTTGGGCTCTTTACCTTAGTGGTTGTTATAAATTTGATAAAAGGACAGGTTAAGAACTCTGAAATTGTTTTCTCTTGAAAAAAAAAGTTAGAGGTAATCTGATTGAAGTGTTTAAGATTGTTAGGGGAATTGATAGTGTTGATGCATCATCTTTTTTTCACACTTAATGATGATAATAGTAGGACTAGAAGTAGGAAACACAAATTTTGGAAAGAGTCATTATCGGGTAAGACAGTTTTATTTTTCACGGGTTGGTTGACCCTTGGAATGGGCTGCCTTTAGATGTGATGGATGAAGTAAAGTTAAAGGTTTGATAAATATCTGAATGATATAATACAATACGAAACTTAAAATACATGTAATTGTTACAGTGTATATAAGCAGTTTATATATCAAGAGATTACATGGTCCTTTGAAGATGCATTACACACCCACCTATGAGGGATAAAAAAAAAAGAGTAGAAATTAAACCAACCTCTTGTCTTACAGGAATTCATTAATTTTCCTCTTAAACTCTCGTTGATAACTCATTTTAAAAGTTAATCACCGCCTTGAAAAAAATAACTTTTGCCATCTCCATAATTTGGCCAAAAGAGATTGGTGGCTTTTATTCTATCAGTCTACCAGATAATCTTGTAAGATCATTTGTTATCCTTTTCTCAAGAGAAAATAAGAGGTCATAACCTATTCCAATAAGATAACCATTCTGTTTCCAAAATCATCCCAGAAGCCATCCTCTGAACACTTTCCAATAAGATAACCATTCTGTTTCCAAAATCATCACAGAAGCCATCCTCTGAACACTTTCCAATAAGATAACCATTCTGTTTCCAAAATCATCCCGGAAGCCATCATCTGAACACTTTCCAACAAGATAACCATTCTGTTTCCAAAATCATCCCAGAAGCCATCCTCTGAACACTTTCCAATAAGATAACCATTCTGTTTCCAAAATCATCCCAGAAGCCATCCTCTGAACACTTTCCAATAAGTCAATATACTTTGTTAAATAAGAAAACCAATGTTGTACACACTATTTCAAGTGAAATAATTACATTTCAAAATTGTAACTGATTTTTAGCTTTACTTTCCCTCTATCACATTACAAGAAAACTTCTGAATGGTTTTAACAATGATGAATGTGTCGTATGTAGCTGCAGAACAAGTAGTGTTAGTGCTAGATGTTGTGTGTAATTTTGTAATCACATATTTGTTATTTCATGAAATTGACTTTCGTGTAGTATACTGAACATTTAAAGAAAATTTTATTTGTTATTAAACTTGAATTATCATAGTTTGGCTTTTCACTATCCTCGTGCACGTGTATAAATAGTTCCAGTATTTATTTCTGCTTAGAGGCTGTGTGAAATATTTCATGCAAGTTAGATAACCATCTGCCATCAGTTGTTTAATTCTCTAAATTTACTACATTTATTGCAATGCTGATAAAAACATGTAATTAATAAAACTTGTGTAGAATCAGGATTTCTTGTTTTTGAAAAAATGTTCATAGAATAAAAGCCCAAAATATCATTTTGTTTAATATCAGTATATTAATACATCTACATGTATATAAATTCCTTTATCTTAAAGAATGCATGTAATAATGTAGCGGGTGAGCTTTTTCGGAGTCTGTTTGAGTGATATATTACCAAGATAACTAGACCACATACTAATCTATACTAGTACCTGTACTGTACATGCACGTGTTCAAATTGGTTCATAGTGAACTACCATAATAGGCAAGACGCTTGCACCGGAGATTGAGCAGTAGCTTACTGCACATGTACGTTCCTCTTACACACTTTTAATTATGTATGTGTGGTTGATTATATACTTCTTGTAATATAAATTTAAAATAATATACTCCTAAGTAATGCAGTCAGTTTTTGTTTTACTCTCTAACTTGATTACTTTTAAGCAGTTGTTTAGGTCAGTGATTCTGAACGTGGGATGCACGCACCACAGGGGGGCAATTTGAAAATGCTACAATAAGAAAAATTAAACTCCTATTTTTTTTTTGGTAAATTTCTAAATTTTACATTACAGTATTATACCTTTTCAACATCAAATTTGTTTTTGTATTAAGGGGGCATCAAATCTTTTGAGGTGACTAGGTGGGGCATGGAGAAAAAAAAGATTAAGAACCACTGGTTTAGGTGAATTAAGTTAATTCGGTGAAAACAGAAGACAGGATTGAGAGATTGTTTCCTTGGTGATGCTTGATTAAAGTTGCTTATAATGTGTATTTATCTTTTTTTATTTGTTTTTAGGAAACAAAGGAAAAATAATTTTAAGTGTTTGTTTGTTTTTTTTGACTAATAAGAATGAGTTGTCTATACATCTTAAGATATGTTAACAACTTAAACAAGGTTAATTATTCTAAAACAGATTGAATTAAAGAAAATTTCTTTCCCTTGATAACAATATTTCTAGACTTCTCAGGTGAAATCTGAAGATTTGCCGATAACTTTGCGGTGAAAAAGGTCTTCCGTACAGACGTCCCATCGAGATGGCTAAAGCAAGGACACCCCCATCTGAAAGTGATCAAACAGTTGAGGATGGAAAAACTGTTGAAGATGATGTAGCTCTGGCAATGGCCACTCTGTCTGTGATGGATCATGGTACAATGGACGTTGGGTATATAAAGAGTCCAAGTAGGTCTGCCTCTCTCGAGAAACACGAGCCGAGAATTACATCCAAAAGTCTTCCTGAGGTAAAAAAGAAAAGGGGCCAATCTCTATCCAAAACTAATTTTGGGAGTCAAAGCCTCATTGAACGTGGAACTCGCAAGAAGAGACGACAGATGTCCATAAGTGATCCAACTCCGGAAATTACACGCTTGACTCGTAGTCCTAGCTGTGGGTTTGGATTTTTTAGAAAAGGGCCATCCACACCATCAAGTTCATCTTCCCATTCCTCAGGAGGATCAAAGTTCCGCACCCTCGGCTATCGACCTCGATTGCACTCCGACTCCTTTCCAGAACAAGGCTGTCTCCTTCCCCGGGGCCTTAAAGATCAACATGCAGCTCATATATGTGGGTGGTATGTAACCTTCTTGTTCTACCAATAGCTGTCTTAAAAGTTCACCTATTAATGTTCATCTCTTACATAACTGCCATACTTAAGCTATTACTATGACTAAAACACTTTTGGCTCAAATACTGATAGTCTTTACAAGTTGACTAACGTAGCTTTAGAGTTCTGCCAGATTCCATCTTTAATAATCAATGAAAACTGACATTTACTTTTTAAATACCATGATATATTACAGTAAGAAAAGCTTAAGCTAGTCAGACATTTCCATTAATGAGAAGTTTCATTAGGATAATATATTTAAAAATAATAACACCCACTTTCCCTTGTATGTTGAGAAGTTTGATATTCCTATCGAAACCAAAGGACTTAGTAAGTTTGAACATCTGTTCAAACCAATTATGTATATACATATAATACATTATTTTGTTAAAATATCATTGTACAAGTTACAATACAAAACCCTCCACACAGGATCTGGGTTTTAAACATTGATTTGAAGTTGTATTATAGTGTATATTTATTTCTTTTGAAAGTTCTAAGATTGTTTTTGCTTTGTCGCACTTCTTTTGCTGTGTTTTTTTATTGTTGTTTCAAATATTTTGTTTCTAAAGCTACTTAAGTTACATAACATTTTGTAATAACGTTAACTCTGAAACATAGAATACTTAATTATGTGTAAGAATTTAGTTTGGCTTATTCACTTTTAGTAATGTCGTCCATATATTTTTTTCATAATTATACTTTTTTGTTTTGGTGCCAGGTTTTTTGAAGAGCCATCTTTAGTTAACTCAAACCACACGAGTGTAAGTAGTTATTTCCTGTTTAGAGCTAACTTTCACCAGTAACTTTAAAGTTTAGTTAAATCAGAACATGAAAACAAATTATAACTACCAAGACTTTGTCCTTCAGATTACTGCTAGCCTGATGTAATATTTCTGATTGTTAAAGTTTAGATAAAGCAGAACATGATAACAAGTTATAACTACATAGACTTTGTCCTTCAGATTACTGCTAACCTGGTGTAATATTTCTGATTGTTAAAGTTTAGATAAATCAGAACTTGAAAACAAGTTATAATTACATAGACTTTGTCCTTCAGATTACTGCTAGCCTGGTGTAATATTTCTGATTGTTAAAGTTTAGATAAAGCAGAACATGAAAACAAGTTATAACTACATAGACTTTGTCCTTCAGATTACTGCTAGCCTGGTGTAATATTTCTGATTGTTAAAGTTTAGATAAATCAGAACTTGAAAACAAGTTATAACTACATAGACTTTGTCCTTCAGATTACTGCTAGCCTGGTGTAATATTTCTGATTGTTAAAGTTTAAATAAAGCAGAACATGAAAACAAGTTATAACTACATAGACTTTGTCCTTCAGATTACTGCTAACCTGGTGTAATATTTCTGATTGTCTCTGCTTCTCTGTGCTGATGAATATCTAACTGATAGGAGATTAAGAATGAGGCAAAATAGAAATGGTATTAGGCCTAATAACAGGCATAAAAGTGAGCTGGAGACAAAATATCATTTAACCTGTATAGTTTCCAAAGAAATCTGTTTCTTTCTTAAAAAAGTTTGATCATTATGCAGCAGATACATCAGTGAACTAAACAGACTTGTACACATAACTTTTGTTATTTAACAAAAGAAATAATTTAGTTTTTTTATAAGGCTTATTATGAAAATTACATTCAGTAAATGGATTAAGATGACTTGAATTTCAACTCGGTAAATTTTCCTGTTGTTACTGTTATTGCTTTATGTATTTTAGGTCTGAGTCTGACAGTGGTTCCAGGATTTCTCCAGCAGAGGGCCAGACTAGTTCCAGTTTTCCTGAGGAAGGAGCTGCTGTATCATCATCAGTTTGTACACTGGAACTCGGTAAAAGTAAGAATTACGAAACTGAAAAGATAAAAAGACTATATTTTATGTTTAAATTTTATATTTTATGTTTATCGGACTGAATGATGAGCTAAATGAAACAAAAGTTGAATGTGAAAAAAAAAAGATCAAACATTGGGTGAACGAACTATGTCAGATATTATACCATGCAGTGCGAGCTAGTCATTAAAATACGTCTCTAAACATTTTAAACAACACTAAACTTTATTTATTTATCATTATCTGTTTAACGTTACTTCAATTGTTGTTTTCATACGTTTTTATCACTGCCATTGTTTTGACTCTAGTTAATTTCATTGCAAACATTTCAGTGCAGTTTTTTTGGGTCACGTACCGGTAGCACACCTCTGATACGTGTAATTTGGTAACTGTGTAAAGTGGTTTATATTGATAAAACGGAAAGTAAAGAATAATGATAATTGAAGGGTAAGTCAACAATCGGTGAATTTTGAGTGTCGGCTAGTGGAATTTGCTGGTAACTCACTGAGGCTTGGGAGTTTATTCTGTTTTTAATGTTTTTCAAAGATTCTTCCATACCTCCCCCCAGAAAGGTCACTGTGTATCCCCATGTTTTGAACCACTGCCTTAATTAACCCATTAACTGCTGCAGGAGCAGCTCAGTTGCTGTTTTCTGACTCACAGATAAAACTGAGTTGCCATCAATCACAATAAAACTGTAATTATCATCATTCGCATAGAGTTATAGTTATATATATGTGCGACTGACGGATATTTCCGTCATTCACAGCTGAGCCATAGAACTTCAGTGACGGAAATATCCGTCATCCGCAGTTAATGGGTTAATGGTTATCTGATTCTCTTAATACTGTTTATTTTAACATTTGTGATAAAAACATTTCTTGCACAAGTAAACATTTTTGGAACCAGTAAGATATTCTACTGTTTTTTTTTGTTTTTTTTTGCTTTCCTTACTAGAATCGGATAAAAAAACTCCAAGACGACAAAAGGACTCAAAGGTCAGTGTCTTGAAAATGGCTATGTAACCGATACAACAAAAACTTTAAAATGTTTTAAATATCTAGAAATATCTTGGAAACAGTTCTTTTATTATTCTTATTAATATCCTTTATATCAAAGTTATAGTAGTGGTTTGTTCATTCGTTATGTACTATTAACTAATGTCTTGTTTTTGGCAATGTTCAAAAATACAAAAAATTAGGTTTTATTTGAACTAGTTTTTATTTGTGATACATTAAATATTGTTTTGTTTTGTTTTCTCCTGAGAACTGCAATGTTCTGAAGATTTAAAGAATGTACTTGGTGTAAGAACTGAAGCAATAAAACTTGTTTTAAAAGAAAAATGTTAAAATAAGGTTATATTTTTGTTGACGTGGTGTTTGTCAAAAGATGATTGGTTTAACTTTCTGCTCCTATCTTTTCAAGAATAAAAAAAACAAACTTAACAGAGACTACCTTTTATATCTTAAATATATATTGTCTTCTCATTTTTTAGTTTGAAGTTTTTGTGCCCTTGTGTGATGTTCAACAAAGTCTCAAGAAAGGAGAAGTGATTGAGGTGAATTTTTATCTGAAAAACAACAGACTTGCGATACCCTATAACAGAGGATCACAAACTTTTCCTGTTTAGGACCCAATTTTTTGAGAGGGTGAACATGACAGGACCCTTTTATTTATTCTGTAACTAAAAATCAACAATGAATAAGAACCATTCTAAAGAATATGCTAACTAATTAAGACAGTTCTACACATACGTAGGAGACATTTCTATTTGGATGTGTTAGAATTTTGAAAAAAAATCATTTTAAAGCAATTTGTTGTACCTTCCTAACTGAGTGTGTTTGAAAACACCTACACTGTAAATATTCTTGTAAAAAAAAACATGAACAATTTGAATGTTTTTCAAGCCTTGATTTACTTATTCAAAATTTTTGTTTAATTTGTTTTTCATCACAGTTTATTGTTACTAAGAATTAGTTTATTTCAAAGTTTATTTTCATAATTAAGCCAGTATTACAAGTAAGTTTAAGGTTAAGTTCAACAATTAAGCTGGTATTACAAGTAAGTTTAAGGTTAATTTCAACAATTAAGCCGGTATTACAAGTAGTTTAAGGTTAAGTTCAACAATTAAGTTGGTATTACAAGTAAGTTTGAGGTTAAGTTCAACAATTAAGCCTGTATTACAAGCAAGTTTAAGGTTAAGTTCAACAATTAAGCCAGTATTACAAGTAGTTTAAGGATAAGTTCAACAATTAAGCCTGTATTACAAGCAAGTTTAAGGTTAAGTTCAACAATTAAGCCAGTATTACAAGCAAGTTTAAGGTTAAGTTCAACAATTAAGCCAGTATTACAAGCAAGTTTAAGGTTAAGTTCAACAATCAAGCCGGTATTACAAATAAGGTTACGGTTAACTTCAACTATTAAGCCGGTATTACAAGCAAGTTTTAGGTTAAGTTCAACAATTAAGCCAGTATTACAAGCAAGTTTAAGGTTAAGTTCAACAATTAAGCCGTATTACAAGTAAGTTTAAGGTTAACTTCAACTATTAAGCTGGGAATTATAAGTAGTTTAAGGTTAAATTCAACATTCTTGTGTATTCAGTTATTTTCAGTTTTTGTTTAATGAAACAATTTGGAAAAGACTTAAGTTTATTTATTAAGGTTATGTTGTTTACTTTTCATCATTTGTACGTGTCTACTTTCTACTTAATATTAGTGCGCTTATTGATGACTCTGATATAAAAAATATCAGAAAGATGGTAAAAACTATATTTAAATGAGGATAGCGCGGTGTACACCGGGATAACAGACTTATGTGAAAGACATACTTAGCAGGTAAAGAATTATGTAGAAGTGTTGATATGAACAACTTGTTCTTAAAATAAGTGTTGGTGGGCTGAGCACAGCCCTTTGGTTAGTATGCTGAGTTGTGGGTCTGAGTTTTCATGTTTTGGGTTCCATTACAAATAAAAAAAAACATTTTTGCACTCGCATCTTTATGATCATTGGTGAATTATAAAAAAAAGTGATGGTCAAATGACACTGATTGGTCTGACAAGAGCGACCCAGGAGATTTCTTCTTTCTAGTCTACCACTTCAAAATTAAGGACCTCTTGTAGCTCTGCACAAATTTCAACAAACAAACAAAAAAAATAAATTTTCGTACAACAGCATGAATCTTCATCGCTATGTGTAATAATGTAGGTGAGCTCAACTTTATCAAAACGTAACTTAACAAACAAAACTCTTAAAACTGCTTGCCCCTATCAATCATTACTCACGAGGATACGATACCCTATAACCAGAGCACTTTCGAAAGGTGGGTCTGAAGAAGAAAGGTCAACCTTTCAAAAGTGCTTTGGTTATAGGGTATTGTATCCTTGTGTTAAATTGATTTCTTGAACCTACGTGTTTTCCTAACATCCTGAACATATGCTAACAGTATAAGTCGTACTAATAACAAAGAATGTAAAAATTGCTCAGTAATTCATTTTTAAAGGTATTTATACCGAGCACTGTAAGGTAATAACCAAATTGTTCTAATACGTCTTATTGTACATTTTTCCAATTAATGTTCTTTTTGTGAATTAAAAAAAAATTTTACCATCATAATGTCTCTAATGGCCTATTTTCTGTTTGATACTCACAGGGGCTGCTGAAAATGAACCCAAGCGACTACCAAGATTCTTTCATTAGTGCTCCGGTAATCCTCGGTAGCTTTCTTTTTTGTCTTTTCTTCTTATCATGTGATTCTTTTAATGAAATGTCTGAGTAGTGGACAGAGACTCGATTACTTCACATTTATTTAATGTTTTTTATGCTTCCCTTACTGTTTTCTACAGTTTCAGTTCTGTTCCTTTTTTTGTCATCTGACAAATATTGGGTTAATTAGACTTGCAGTACCTGTTTATCCTACATAGAACGAAAGAAATTGTACACTTTAGTGGCTAATTTCTGGAGATATTTAGTGGGAAAACAAAAAAGTGGTAGGAGAGTAACTTATCCTCTCTGGCCATTTTCAACATAAAAATAAAATGTACAAACCCTCTTATTTGTAACATGCATTGTCCTGTAACACAGAAGTTACGACAAATGAAAACCTGATCAGTAAACATTATGATGAAACAAATTCCTTTAATTTGTTTGTGTGCATCCTAAAAACATTATTTTCTTTCATATCCTCCAAGTGCGAAATTTTTAAAGGCTTAGCAACCTATGTCAAGCAGCAACCGGATACGAAGGTTGTAACTAGAAGAGATAATTGTTTGCATTACTTCTTTATTTTTTAAAGGCTTAGCAACCTATGTCAAGCAGCAAACGGATACGAAGGTCGTAACTAGAAGAGATAATTGTTTGCATTACTTCTTTATTTTTAAAAGGCTTAGCAACCTATGTCAAGCAGCAACCAGATACGAAGGTCGTAACTAGAAGAGATAATTGTTTGCTTTACTTCTTTATTTTTTAAAGGCTTAGCAACCTATGTCAAGCAGCAACCGGATACGAAGGTTGTAACTAGAAGAGATAATTGTTTGCTTTACTTCTTTATTTTTTAAAGGCTTAGCAACCTATGTCAAGCAGCAACCGGATACGAAGGTTGTAACTAGAAGAGATAATTGTTTGCTTTACTTCTTTATTT